GTGTTAGAGATGAGGGGTTAATATTGAAAATATATAAAGACCTCCTAAATCTCAATAAAAAATAAACAAACTGATTCTAAAATGCGCAAAAAATTTGAATAGACATTCCTTAAAAGAAATAAATAGCCAGTGAGAACCTGAAAAGATACTCAACATTGTCACATGGAAAATGCAAATCAAAACCACAATGAGATACCAACTCACCCCATTAGATTGGGTACATATCAAAAATAACTAAGGAAAATTCGAAGTATTGGTGAGGATATGGAAAAACTGGAACCCTTGTACACTGTTGGTGGCAGTGTAAAATGGTAAAGCCACTATGCAACATAATATGGTGGTTCCTAAAAAGCTAAAAATATATAACCCAGCAATTCTACTTCTCAACATATACTTAGACCCATTTATGTTGGAGGTTGCAATTTTTTGAATTTTTGCAATCAGACCTTGGCGATGACCTTGAGCAATAGGACATAAATAACTCCTACATGTTTAGCATTCCAATAATGGAACACTAGGCATAAATGGGTTAAAGAAGCAAAAGCAGCTTCTCGAAGGGATATTTGTATATACATGTTTACGGCCGTATTGTTTATAATGGACAAAAGGTAGAACCAGCCCAAGTGTCTATCCACAGAAGAATGAATAAACAATATGTATATTATTTTTATATATAAATGCTTATTAATATTTAATGCTTTTGTATGTAGATATCCAGTTTCTCCAGCATCATTTGCTTGAAAGACTATCCTTTATGCATTATATACACAGACATATAGGAATATTATTCGGCCTTTCAAATGAAGAAAATTCTGACACATTCTAAGACATGGATGAATCTAGAGGATATTACACCAAGTGAAATAAGCCAGTCACACAGACAAATACAGTTTGATTTCATTTATATGAAGTACTTAGAGTAAACACATAGAGACAGGAAGTAAAATGGTGGTTTCCAGCAACTAGGGAGAGGGGAGGATGGAAAGTTGTTGATTGTTACAGAGTTTCAGTTTTCCAAAATGAAAAGAGCTCTGTATATTGGTTGCAAAATAATGTGAATACAATGAACACTAATGAATGATAAACTTAAAAATGGTTAAGATGGTAAATTTTGTCATGTATCTTTTACCACAATTAAAAATTAAAATAATAACAATAAATACTCCTTTCATCTAGGGGCTTGATTAACCCTATATGAAATTTTAAGAATACACAATCACAGCTAGATAATCTGGTCAGTTGCTATATTAGTCCATTCTTGCATTGCTATAAAGAAATTCTTGAGAATGGGTAATTTATTGGCTCACAGTTCCACAGGCTGTACAGGAAGCATGATGCTAACATCTGCTCAGCTTCTGGGAGGCCCCAGGAAGCTTACAATCGTGGGCAGAAGGCAAAGGGGGACCTGGCACTTCACATGGCCAGAATAGGAGGAAGAGAGAGAATGGGGAGGTGCTACACACTTTTAACAACCAGATGTTGCAAGAACTCACTATCACCAAACAGCACCAAGGGGATGGGGCTAAATCATTCACAAGAAATTCACACTCATGATCTAATCATCTCCTACCAGGACCCACCTCCAACGTTGGGGATTACAATTCGACATGAGATTTGGGCAGGGACACAGACACAAACCGTATCAGTTGCCCACAGAATAGACATATTTTATATAGGAATGTTATGGCAATTGACTGGCAGTGTACATATTGTTTTGTATTATCTCAACTGGAAAAGTTTAGAGATTCTAACATTAATAATTATATTTGGGAGAATTTCATTGATCTCTGATATATCTATGTCAAAATGCTACACACTATGTTAGGTAGGTTTTTATTGCCTATAGCACCATTTTTATCTCTTTGCCTTGTCTGTGAACATGGAAAATTGGCCAAGATAGATAAATATACATTTAAAAATGTCCTAATCGTATCAACCCTTTATTTTTTAAAACTAGCTCTTTGTTAAAGGGCTCAAAATTCAAACAATGCAAAGGATTTTATAAGGTGAAATTATACGTTCCCAAATGTATAGCCGGTTATCAACACTATAGATTGAATTAACCATTCCATTCCAAATGATCTGAAATTCTACCTTTATTATATGCTAAATTCCCACATATATTTGAATCTACTTCTGTGGTTTTTTTTTTTGACACAGAGTCTCTCTCTGCTGCCTGGGTTGGAGTAGAGTGGCATGGCCTTGGCTCATTGCAAGCTCCACCTCCTGGGTTCAATCAATTCTCATGTCTCAGCCTCCCTAGTAGCTGGAATTACAGATGTGCACCACCACACCCAGCTAATTTTTGTATTTTTAGTAGACACAGAGTTTTACCATGTTGATCGGGCTGGTCTCCAACTCCTGACCTCAGGTGATCCACCCACCTCAGCCTCCCAAAGTGCTGGGATTACAGGCATGAGCCACTGCGCCCAGCCCAGGTTTACTTTTGAAGTCACGATACTGTTCTGACTGTATGAGCATGTACCAATTGAAATTGCTTTTGTCAATTGCAGCCTTCTTATATATCTTACTTCTAGGTATGTTTCTTCTATTTAAAATATTTCCTGACTCTTGACTTGAGGTGATACATACATATAAACATCAGAAGCATATTATTTAGTTCCAAACAAATTAATTTCCATCATGACTGCATTATATTTTGTGCAATAAGCAATTGACATGTTTACCACACTGGATATTCCAATTCAAAAAGTGGCTCTGTGTTTGTATAATTCAAGCCTTCTCTCTAGTTCCTCTTTAGCATTCCAAGCTTCTTTTCCTTTCTTTTTTCTTTTTCTTTCTTTTTTTTTTTTTTTTGAGATGTATTTTCTCTCTTCTTCCCCATGCTGAAGTGCAATGGTGTAATCTCAGCTCACTGCAACCTCCGCCTCCTGGGTTCAAGCAATTCTCCTGCCTCAGCCTCCTGAGTAGCTGAGATTACAGGCACCCGCCACCACACCCAGCTAATTTTTGTATTTTTAGTAGAGACGGGGTTTCAGCATGTTGGCGAGGCTGGTCTCGAACTCCTGACCTCAGGCAACCATGCTCGCCTCAGCCTTCCAAAATGCTAGGATACAGGCATAAACCACCGTGCCCGGCCCCAAGCTTTTCACCATATAGGTGTTACACATTTCCTGCTCAGTTTAGTCCTAGATATTTTACGTTTGGTTAATTTCTTCAAAGAGAACTTTTCTTCTATTGTATTATATAATTTATGGTTGTATACAGGAAAGAAATTTATGCACATTAAATTTGTAATCAGCTACCTCACTAAATTTTCCTCAGGAATATTTTAGGTGAAGTTCTTGATTTCTCTCCTTTTTTTTTCTAAAACAGAAAAATCACAAGTTTAATCTTTTCTTTTTAATTGCATTTTAGGTTTTGGGGTACATGTGAAGAACATGCAAATTGTTGCATAGGTACACACATGACAGTGGGATTTGCTGCCTTCCTCCCCTTCACCTATATCTGGCATTTCTCCCCATGCTATCTCTCCCCAACTCCACACCCGCCGCTGACCCTCCCCTATCTTCCCTCAACAGACCCCAGTGTATAGTGCTCCCCTCCATGTGTCCATGTGTTCTCATTGTTCAACACGCACCTATGAGTGAGAACATGTGGTGTTTGGTTTTCTGTTCTTGAGTCAGTTTGCTGAGAATGATGGTTTCCAGGTTCATCCATGTCCCTACAAAGGACACAAACTCATGGTTTTTGATGGCTGCATAATATTCCATGGTGTATATGTGCCACATTTTTCCTGTCCAGTCTATCATCAATGGGCATTTGGGTTGGTTCCAGGTCTTTGCTATTGTAAACTGTACTGCAATGAACATTCGTGTGCATGTGTCCCTATAGTAGAAAGATTTATAATCCTTTGGATATGTACCCAGTAATGGGATTGCTGGGTCGAATGGAATTTCTATTTCTAGGTCCTTGAGGAATCACCACACTTTCTTCCACAATGGTTGAACTAATTTACACTCCCACCAACAGTGCAAAACTGTTCCTATTTCTCCACATCCTCTCCAGCATCTGTTGTCTCCAGATTTTTTAATGATCGCCATTCTAACTGGCGTGAGATGGTATCTCAATGTAGTTTTGATTTGCATTTCTCTAATGACCAGTGATGATGAGCATTTTTTCATATGTTTGTTGGCCTCGTATATGTCTTCTTTTGTAAAGTGTCTGTTCATATCCTTTGCCCACTTGGGAATGTGCTTGTTTGTGTTATTCTTGTAAATCTGTTTTAGTTCTTTGTAAATTCTAGATATCAGCCCTTTATCAGATGGGTAGATTGCAAAAAATTTTTCCCATTCTGTTGGTTGCTGATTCACTCTAATGACTGTTTCTTTTGCCGTGCAGAAGCTGTGGAGTTTGATTAGGTCCCATTTGTCTATTTTGGCTTTTGTTGCCAATGCTTTTGGTGTTTTAGTAATGAACTCCTTGCCTATGCCTATGTCCTGAATGGTTTTGCCTAGATTTTCTTCTAGGGTTTTTATGGTGTTAGGTCTTACGTTTAAGTATTTGATACACCTGGGGTTAATTTTAGTGTAAGGTGTCAGGAAGAGATCCACTTTCTGCTTTCTGCACATGGCTAGCCAGCTTTCCCAACACCATTTATTGAACAGGGAATCCTTTCCCCATTGTCTGTTTTTCTCAGGTTTGTCAAAGATCAGATGGTTGTAGATATGTTGTATTGCCTCCGAGGCCTCTGTTCTGTTCCATTGGTCTATATCTCTGTTTTGGTACCAGTACCATGCTGTTTTGATTATTGTAGCCTTGTAGTATAGATTGAAGTCCAGTAACATGCCTCCCGCTTTGTTCCTTTTGCTTAGAATTGACTTGGCTATGCAGGCTCTCTTTTGGTTCCATATGAAGTTTAAGGTGTTTTTTTCCAGTTCTGTGAAGAAGGTCATTGGTAGCTTGATGGGGATAGCGTTGAATCTGTAAATTACTTTGGGCAGTATGGACATTTTCACAATATCGATTCTTCCTAACCATGAGCATGGAATGTTTCTCCATCTGTTTGTGTCCTCTCTTATTTCGTTGAGCAGTGGCTTGTAGTTCTCCTTGAAGAGGTCCTTTACGTTCCTTGTCAGTTGTAGTCCTAGGTATTTTATTCTCTTTGTAGCAATTGTGAATGGCATTTCATTATTGATTTGGCTCTCTTTAAGTCTGTTATTGGTGTATAGGAAGGCTTGTGATTTTTGCACATTGATTTTGTATCCTGAGACTTTGCTGAACTTGCTTATCAGTTTTAGGAGATTCTGGGCTGAGACGATGGGGTCTTCTAGATATACAATCATGTCGTCTGCAAATAGAGACAATTTTACTTCCTCCTTTCCTATTTGAATACCCTTTATTTCTTTTTCTTGCCTGATTGCTCTGGCTAGAACTTCCAGTACTATATTGAATAGGAGTGGTGAGAGAGGGCATCCTTGTCTACAGCCAGATTTCAAAGGGAATGTTTCCAGTTTTTGACCATTCAGTATGATATTGGCTGTTGGTTTGTCATAAATCGCTTTTATTACTTTGAGATACATTCCATCTATACCTAGTTTATTGAGGGTTTTAGCATAAAGCGCTGTTGAATTTTGTCAAAGGCCTTCTCTGCATCACTTGATATAATCATGTGGTTTTTGTCTTTGGTTCTGTTTATGTGGTGAATTACGTTTATAGACTTGCATATGTTGAACCAGCCTTGCATCCCTGGGATGAATCCCACTTGATCATGGTGGATAAGCTTTTTGATGTGCTGTTGCAATTGGCTTGCCAGTATTTTATTGAAGATATTTGCATCTATGTTCATCATGGATATTGGCCTGAAGTTTTCTTTTCTTGCTGAGTCTCTGCCGGGTTTTGGTATCAGGATGATGTTGGTCTCATAAAATGGTTTGGGAAGGATTCCCTCTTTTTGGATTATTTGGAATAGTTTCAGAAGGAATGGTACCAGCTCCTCTTTGTACGTCTGGTAGAATTCGACTGTGAACCCATTTGGACCTGGGATTTTTTTGGGTGTTAGGCTCTTAATTGCTGCCTCAACTTCAGACCTTTTTATTGGTCTATTTAGGGTTTGGACTTCTTCCCAGTTTAGGCTTGGTAGGATGCAAGTGTCCAGGAATTTATCCATTTCTTCCAGGTTTACTAGTTTATGTGCATAGAGCTGTCTGTAGTAATCTCTAATGACGGTTTGAATTTCTGTGGAATCTGTGGTGATATCCCCTTTATCGATTTTTATTGCATCTATTTGATTATTCTCTCTCTCTTTTTTTATTAATCTGGCAAGTGGTCTATTTTGTTGATCTTTTCGAAAAACCAGCTCCTGGACTTATTGATTTTTTGAAGGTTTTTTTTGTGTCTCTATCTCCTTCAGTTCTGCTCTGATCTTAGTTATTTCTTGTCTTCTGCTAGGTTTTGAGTTTTTTTGATCTTGCTCCTCTAGCTCTTTCAATTTTGATGATAGGGTGTTAATTTTAGGTCTCTCCTTGCTTCTCATGTGGGCATTGTTGCTATATATTTTCCTCTAGAGACTGCTTTAAATGTGTCCCAGAGATTCTGGTATGTTGTGTCTTCATTCTCATTGGTTTCGAAGAACATCTTTATTTCTGCCTTCATTTTATTGTTTATCCAGTCAACATTCAAGAGGCAGTTGTTCAGTTTCCATGAAGCTGTGCGGTTCTGAGTTAGTTTCTGAATTCTGAGGATTGTACTGTGGTCTGAGAGACTGTTATGATTTCCATTCTTTTGCATTTGCTGAGGAGTGATTTACTTCCAATTATGTGGTAAATTTTAGAGTAGGTGTGATGTGGTGCTGAGAAGAATGTATATTCTGTGGATTTGTGGTGGAGAGTTCTGTAAATGGCTATTAGGTTTGCTTGGTCCATGTCTGGGTTCAAGTCCTGGATATCCTTGTTAATTTTCTCTCGTTGATCTAATATTAACAATGGGGTGTTAAAGTCTCTCACTATTATTGTGTGGGAGTCTAAGTCTCTTCGTAAGTCATTAAGAACTTGCCTTATGTATCTGGGTGCTCCTGTATTGGGTGCGCATATATTTATGATCGTTAGCAGTTCTTATTGCATTGATCCTCTTACCATATGTAATGTCCTTCTTTGTCTCTTTTGATCTTTGTTGATTTAAAGTCTATTTTATCAGAGACGAGAATTGCAACTCCTGCTTTTATTTCCTCTTCTTTTCCTTGGTAAATCTTCCTCCATCCCTTTATTTTGAGCCTTTGTGTATCCTTGCATGTGAGATGGGTTTCCTGGATACAGCACACCCATGGGTTTTGGCTTTTTATCCAATTTGTCAGCCTGTGTCTTTTGATTGGGGCATTTAACCCATTTACATTTAGGGTTAATATTGTTATGTGTCAATTTGATATTGCCATTTTGATGCTAGCTGGCTGTTTTGCCCGTTAATTGATGCAGTTTCTTCATTGTGTTGTTGCTCTTTACAATTTGGTATGTTTTTGGAGTGGATGGTATTGGTTGTTCCTTTCTATGTTTAGTGCCTTTTTCAGGAGGTCTTGTAAAGCAGGCCTGGTGGTGATGAAATCTCTTGAGTACTTGCTTGTTCGTAAAGGATTTTATTTTCCCTTCACTTATGAAGCTTAGTTTGGCTGGATAGGAGATTCTGGGTTGAAAGTTCTTTTCTTTAAGGATGTGGAATATTGGCCCTCACTCTCTTCTGGCTTGTAGGATTTCTGCTGAGAGATCTGCTGTGAGTCTGATGGGCTTTCCTTTGTTGGTAACCCGACCTTTCTCTCTGACTGCCCTTAGCATTTTCTCCTTCATTTCAACCCTGGTGAATCTGATGATTATGTGCCTTGGGGTTGCTCTTCTTGACGAATATCTTTGTGGTGTTCTCTGTATTTCCTGGATTTGAATATTGGCCTGCCTTGCTAGGTTGGGGAAGTTTTCCTGGATAATATCCTGAAGAGCATTTTCCAGCTTGGATTCATTCTCTCTGTCACATTCAGGTACGCCTATCAAACGTAGATTAGGTCTTTTCACATAGTCCCACATTTCTTGGAGACTTTGCTCATTCCTTTTTACCCTTTTTTCTCTAATCTTGCCTTCTCATTTTATTTCATTGAGTTGATCTTCGACCTCTGATATACTTTTTTCTGCTTGATCAATTTGGCTGTTGAAACTTGTGTATGCTTCACGAAGTTCTCGTGTTGTGTTTTTCAGCTCCATCAATTCACTTATATTCCTCTCTAAGTTGTCTATTCTTTTCGTCAAATCTTTTTTCAAGGTTCTTAGTTTCTTTTTATTGGGTTAAAACATGTTCTTTTAGCTCACAGAAGTTTCTTATTACCCACCCTCTGAAGCCTGATTCTGTCAATTCATCACACTCATTCTCCAACCAGCCTTGTTCCCTTGCTGGTGAGGAGTTGTGATCCCTTGTAGGAGGAGAGGCATTCTGGTTTCGGGTGTTTTCAGTCTTTTTGCACTGGTTTCTTCCCATCTTTGTGAATTTATCCGCCTGTCGTCTTTGTAGTTGTTGACTTTCAGATTGGGTCTCTGAGTGGACGTCCAGTTTGTTGATGATGAAGTTATTTCTTTCTGTTTCTTAGTTTTCCTTCTAACAGTCTGGCCCCTCTGTTGTAGGACTGCTGAGGTCCACTCTAGGCCCTGCTTGCCTGGGGATCACCTGCAGTGGCTCCAGAACAGTAAGGGTTGCTGCCTGTTTCTTCTTCTGCTATCTTTGTCCCAGAAGGACAATGTCAGTCTGAGCTCCAAATGTCAGTCTGAGCTCTCCTTTATGAGGTGAATCTTTGGATATACGGGGGGCAGGGAGCTGCTTGGGGAGACAGTCTGTCCTTTATAGGAGCTCAAGTGCTCAGCTGTGAGCTCCATTTTTCATTCAGGAAGCTCTTGATTTTTCTAACAATACAAGGATAATCTCTCTAATATATGGATATTGCTTAATCCTTTCTGATTTTTATGATTCTACCTTAGTTCTCACCTTTCATTGACTAGTCCTTACAGAATATTATTCTCTGAGAGAGGCAATAATGTATATCCTTGTCCAGTTCTTTGACACTGCTGAGAATATAAAACATTTATATCACAAAAAAAGATTCTCTCCTTGAGCAAACTTGAGTCAGATTTCTCTGAATTCTCTTTCTGATTAGGTCCCAAAACCTTGGGTCTTGTTTTGGCCCATGTAGTCTGATGGCAGTAAGAATCCTGCTGAATCAGCTTAGTGAAAATCTCCTACCTTAGGTGTCTGAGAATGGTATCCTGTCTTGAGCAAGTATCCTATCAAGTCAGTTTAGCCACAATCCCCCTTTACTCCTGATGTTTCCTCTTAGCATTTCTCCATCCACTGCTTCCCAATATCTTAGGCAATTTTCTGCTGCTACAACAATATCACGGACTGGGTAATTTATGAACCAGTTTATTGGTTCATGATTCTGGAAGCTAAGAAACCCAAGAGCATGACACTGTCATCTGGTGCATCCTCCTCTGAGTCAAGAGCCACTTCTCAGAATATCTCTCAAATGGGCTTATAGAATGACTGTTTATTATTCAAAGTTTTACATAAAAACTATTGAAAAAATATATCACAAACTTTGACATAAAATTCTATCATAAAGTTTGTCTAATCTCAATCATTCAGACCCAAACAATGAAAGACTGGACTCAAACCATATTTTAAAAACCTTATAAATATGAATCCCCCCACATTTGGTTATTCCCTTCTGAAAGGTTATTAAGACAATATTGTAATGGTAGTGGCCTTCCTTAGTGCTGTTAAGTAACAAGCCTGAATTTTTGTTTGATCTGAAGAGTATTTTGGTGACCTGTTCAAATCATTATCTGACAAGATGCAAATTCCCTGCTTAAAATCCCTCTGCGGTTCCTCATTGCTATTATACTAAGGAATAAAATCCTTCACGTGACTGATAAGGTCCTGCAAAACCTGGAACCAGATTAAGGCTGCCAGATAAAATTCAGAGTCCAGTTAAATTTGAATTGCTTATAAACAATGGCTATTTTTTTCTTAGTATAAGTGTGTCCTAAATCTGTTTATCTGAATTTGAATTTTAACTGGGCATTCTGTATTTCGGTTTTTTTATTTGTTTGTTTTTTCAGATGGAGTTTCACTCTTGTCGCCCACGTTGGAGTACAATGGCACAATCTTGGCTCACTGCAACCTCTGCCGTCCGGGTTCAAGGAATTCTCCTGCCTCAGCCTCCCCAGTAGCTAGGATTACAGGCATGCACTGCCATGCCCAACTAATTTTGTATTTTTAGTAGAGATGGGGTTTCTCCATGTTGGTCAGGCTGGTCTCAAACTCCCGACCTCAGGTGATCCATCTGCCTTGGCCTCCCAAAGTGCTGGGATTACAGGCATGAGCCACAGCACCTGCATTGTATTTCATTTTTTAATTGCTAAATTTGGCAACCCTAGGCCAGTCACAGTGCCTCACACCTCTAATTCCAGCACTTTAAGAGGCCAAGGCAGGGGGATCACTTGAGGTTGGGACACCAAGACCAGCCTGGCCAACATGGTGAAACCCTGTCTCTACTGAAAATTTTTAAAAATTAGCCAGGTGTGGTGGTGGGTACCTGTAATCACAGCTACTTGGGAGGCTGAGGCAGGAAAATCACTTTAACCTGGGAGACGGAAGTTGCAGTGAGCCGAGATCGTGCCACTGCACTCCAGCCTGGGCAACAGAGCAAGACTCCATCACTAAATAAATATATAATAAATAAATTTGGCAACCCAATTCCATCTTTATCTTAGTGTCACTTTACACTTACATTTAAAATCTGAGTTCAAGACCATGGTGTTCACAAATCCTATGTCTAGAACTCTGGCCTGAGGCCGGATGACCATAGCCATTAAAACAAGTATTTCATCTCTGCAGGAGGCAAGTTAACTAGCAAATTCAAGTTGGCTTGAAAGTGGTAGGATCTCCCAGACCACTGGTGGGTACATATAGACACAGAATAATGGCTATACCTTGGGCACTGGGGTGAGGAACAGACTGGGAGTGTGCAAATAATTACAGTTTGATAAAATCTTGGGACTGACTTAAAAGCTCTGTAGCTTCTCCTTTTTTCTATGATGATAGTTTCTCCACTGGGGGAGCCTCCACAGTTGAAATAACCAATATTCACTGAGGGGGTCCTACCCAGAGGACCCCCAGGGACATGCGTAGTTCTTGGACAATGAACTGTTGGGGAATAGAGGCCTCACAGGACAGGAGGACTCTGAAGAGTAAGAGGATAACGAGGGAGAGACAGAGAGAGGGAAAGGGAGGAAGAGAGGGAAGGAGAGAGAAGAAAGACACATTCAAGAAACAAAGAAGTGGAACTACAAGATCTTCCTCTGGCCTTTTCAGAAACCTAGGAGGTATGGGTTGTTAATGTAAAAGGTACCCAGAGGTAAGAGCACCAAGCTGAGGCAGTGAAAAGATAATGAACTGGCCTAGGAGGCTCCATGGAAATACTGAAGTTGAAAACAGAGGCTCTGGCTGGGCGCAGTGGCTCACGTCTGTAATCCCAGCACTTCGGGAGGAGATGGGCGGATCATTTGAGGTCAGAAGTTCCAGACCAGCCTGGCCAGCATGGTAAAACCCTGTTTCTACCAAAAGCTACAAAAATTAGCCGGGCCCCAACATTTCCAGGAATTTCAGAGGGACTTGGAAAATACAAAGGCCCATAATAACACTCCATTAAATTAAAGATTCTGGAAATTCTAAATAGGATTGTCAACCAAGATTAAGAAATTCTACTTAAGATGCTGAAGTGTGAAGCAGAACAGATATACCCAGAAGTAACTACATAACAGCAAGAAATCTACAATAATATAAATTGCATTAAGTACATATCTGGTAGAGAAGAGGAGGTGATTAACTGTTTTGAGTAAGATGAGGTTTGACTTCAGAGGATACAATACTATGGGAGGTCATAATATGCCACCCTAAAATATAAAGAATTGTTGACCCGAAGAAAATTAAGAAGCAGCAGGTACAGGAAAGCTCTCTGCCCTCCATTTGCCTAAAAGCAGGACATAGATTTACAAAGACAAAGGTATCCCGACCCAAAATACCTTTATACCAGGGAGAACAAAGGTTAAAAAGTTAAACCACTGAAGAAAACTTTAGACACTTATTGGCCTAGAAATGGTAGCAGAGGAATTTATATTAACAAGCCTTACTAACTAGCTGTCATCTCTCATTTATTTTGCTTCCCAGATATTGCTGCCAGTAGAGATTCAAAGTCCTTTTCCTTTGTCTTGTCACTTCTTTAAAACAAATTTAAAAAAACACTGTTCTTTGTTGAAGGTGCTCTATAACCTGAAATTCAAAGCTACCTATTTGAGAATTATTCATTTCCTGGGTATCTCCCAGGTATATGTTTTCTCTTACTAACTTTATCTTTTGTTACAAGGGTATGATCCAATTAAGAATTTACGAGAGCTGAAAAAAATTGTTTTTTAGCCTACAACACCTAAACGGAAAATTGACTGATAAGCAGCAATTTACAAGGTGTTTAAATATAGAGGCATGAAAAATACGGCCTGACTCTAGACTGTGAATTTTTTTTTTTCCTCTGAGATGGCAATTTCTCCACCAGAGGGAGACCACAACATGCTTTAAAAGGGAATGAGTCAAAAAGAGGAATGTGGTTGGGTCCTGTGACTCACCCCTGTAATCCTAGCACTTAGGGAGGCCAAGACAGGTGGATCAAACTCCTGAGGTCAAGAGTTTGAGACCAGCCTGGCCAACATGGTGAAACCCCATCTCTACTAAAAGTACAAAAATTAGCTGGGTGTGGTGGCATGTGCCTGTAATCCCAGCTACTCTGGAGGCTGAGGCAGGAGAATCGCTTGAACCCGAAAGGCTGAGACAGGAGAGTTGTTTCAACCCAGGAGGCGGAGGCTGCAGTGAGCCGAGATTGCACCACTGCACTCCAGAGAGAGACTCCTTTGTCTCAAAAAAAAAAAGGGGGGGGTGGGAAGACGGATCAACACTGTATTCAGGTATAAATGCTTTTGTTTTGTTTTCATACCGTTTCACTGTTGTTGCCCAGGCTGGAGTGCAATGGCGTGATCTCAGCTCACTGCAACCTCTGCCTCCTGGGTACAAGTGATTTTCCTGCCTCAGCCTCCAGAATGGCTGCAATTATAGGCACCCACCACCATGCCCAGCTAATTTTGTATTTTTAGTAGAGACGCGGTTTTACCACGTTGGCCAGGCTGGTCTCAAACTCTTGACCTCAAATGATCCACTTGTCTTGGTCTCCCAAAGTGCTAGGATTACAGGTATGAGCCACCACACCCACAAACGGTTTTAAAGCTGGATGTGATCATCTGTCAACAAAGGAAGCACTGAGGAAAAGACGAAGGCAACAAAAAGGAGAAATAAAAGATGATCTTCAACAGTGAAAAGAAGCTATGATTTCCCTTTGCTCATTATCATCTACACAGGTTAAATGAGAAATCACCTCTGATAAGGACGTAGAAATCTTTGAGAAATATGGCTTCCTATAAGAAAATCCTACTGATTTGCTGCTTATTATCTGTTGTTTGCAAATATTAATTACATGTCAGCTCAGATAACTTGGTGGTCCTAATGCTATCTGTAGAAATTAACAAAAGCTGTATTTTGCGAAACTACATACAATAGAAACCCTGTGCAATAGTATAGCAAAATACAACCATGTATGGAATGGTTCATGTTTTTGAGAAAAACAAACATTCTCTAGGGAGAGATATGCATCACAAAAAGTATTCATTAATTCCACAAATATTTCCTGTGTGTCAGCCACTGCGCTGAATATCATATTCCTAGAGATCCGGGCATCTAGTAAAGAAACATGAACAGAGAAACGCTAAAGCATGTACTACCTACCTGGGAATTTTATAACAAATTTTCCCAGATGACAGCCACATTTGATCTAGGGAAGACTAGTCTTTCATTTCTGATCACCTTGTCTGGGTACTTGTATCAAGAAGGGTACCAGTGTATGCTCATGGAAAAGATTTTATGAAAATGGGTTGCTAGTCATAGTATAAGAATGTCAGGAGGCAAAGGAGATGGAAGAAGAGAGGGGAAAAAAAAAAGAGAAAGGGAGGTAAGCTGTAGCCCTAAACACTAGTGTATGCGTTGAATAAATATTGTGTGAATCAATGAATGAGAGAGAGAGTTGCAAGACAAGGTTAAGGAGAAAGGGGTTCCTGAGGCAAGGCAGAAAGAAGACAAACAATAAGACCTGGAAAAAACTGAAATCCACTGGAGTTCAAGCAGCTAAAATAAGGTATACATTACACATCAAGAAAAGGAAAACTGTTACAGTCTCCCAAACTAATATATTCTACTTGTATGGTTTAACATTAAGATGGTGAAAGATCTTGGTTTAAGAAACAGGCTGCTTTTTTTCCAAGGGGAAGACTACGGTTTCTCTTTTCCAGTTGTCTCTACTGCTTCATGTCCTTATGCTGCCAGTGGGGATCAACAGAATCCCGAATCTGGGATAGTCCAGAATTTATTCTGGGAGAAAAATGTATGACTGTATCTATGAACTATAGCTGCTGCTAGCCACTAAGTTGCAGGCCAGCGATTTGTGTCCGCCTTCTTCACTGTTACATCTCTACGACTTGATACGGTATCTGGCACTTAGGAGGCACTCAGGAATATTATGTGGAATTAATGAAAGAATGAACACAGCAGGGCATAAGAGATGATCAGGGCATAGTTCATCTGCCTAACCTGGCTCAAAATGGGGGTTCTGGGGATCCTAGTATTACCAACAGAAATCAAGAGGCTAAACTGGTTGCTCTGGGTCCATAATCCATTTCAGGCAGATAACCTGAAACTGGCTCTGGGATACAGCATGCTTGATAATATTACAGTTTTGTTTTTGTTACTTTTTTCTTTTTTTTTTTTTTTAAAAAAAAAAAAAAGGCTAGTGGTGAAAAGAAATGCCATAGGAAAAAAGTGAACAGACTGAATACAGAACAAGTTTCTCCAAAGAAAAGTGTAAATGATACTCTGGCTCGAAGAGCTGAGACATCTTGGAAAGCATGGTATCTTAGCCATTTCACGCTACTATAACAAATTACCAGAGACTGAGTGGCTTATAAACAACAGAAATTTATTCCTCACAGTTCTAGAAGCTGAAAGTCTAAGATAAGGGTGCCAGCATGGTTGGGTTCTGATGAAGGCCTTTTCCAGGCTACAGACTGATGACTCCTCATTACATTTTCACGTGATGTAAAGAGAGCAAGCTAGCCCTCGGGCATCTTCCCACAAGGGTACTTACCCCATTCATGAAGACTACGTCCTTATGATCTTATCCAACTACTTATCCCATTCATGAAGACTATGTCCTTATGATCTTATCCAACTCAAATTACTTCACAAAGGCCCCATCTCAATACCATCATACTGGGGAATCAGTTTCAACATATAAATGGGGATGAAGTACAATCATCCACTTCCTAACATATGTCATATGCCAATGAAAGGAATTTATTTCTGCTCCTTTTGAGGAAATAAGTGAGAACATCACAATGAGTCATAGGTCAATAAGATAATCACTGCCTAAAGGTTTAATCATGTATTCCAAAAAGGAAGAATCAAGGATGACCTTGGGGTCCATTTAGGAGCATCAGAGTGAGTGTCCTAAAACTCTGAATGGAATAGCGTAGGCAATAGGCAGATTTCTGGTTCCCAAAGGTGTCCAAAATCTAATACCAGGAACCTGGGAATATGTTAAGTCACATGCCAAAGGAGAATTAAGGTTACAGATAGGTTTAAGGTCACGGATAAGCTGACCTCGAGATAGAAGATTATTCTGATTATCTAGGTGGATGGAATGTAATCACAAGGGTCTTTTAAAGTGGAAGAGGAAGGCAGAAGAGAAAGAAGCAAAGTGATGGCAGCATGAGAGAGACTCTGCCTGGTGTTGCTAAAGTGGATCATGAGCCAAGGAAAGTGGGCAGCTTCTAGAAGCTGTAAAAGGTAAGAGAACAGACTGTCTTCTCAAAAAAAAAATCTAGCCCTGCTGACACCTTGATTTTAGCTCCATAAGAATTACTTTAGGCTTCTGACCTCAAGAACTATAAGAGAATAAATTTGTATTGCTTTAAGCCATTAAGTTTGTGATAATTTATTACAGCAGCACAGGAAACTAATACAAAAAAATCCCCTGAATCCTTATGCATAGTGACATAGCTGACAGACTCTCCCCAAATCAGAAACACTGCAGCAGGAAGCAGGCGGGATAACAGCATTACTAGATTCATATGTCAAAAAGTAAATTTATTTTTGCTAACTTAAAATACCTGTAAGAGAAAAATTCCTATCCCACTGTTTACATACTTATAAGAATGCTAGGAAATGGCATTATGTCAGCTGAGAACTAAAAATGAATTTGCTATCATCAATTATTCAGATCTTGAGAAGATAATAGAAAAGGAACAAACTTTATTTCTAAAAGTTTTTGAACTCAGTTTTATTGAACTCAAATGCAAATAGGAAATAATTTTGAAAGAGTAACAGTACATATCCATTTACATAAATTACTTCAACTTCTAGTAGTACTACTTCAAAGCAAGCATGATTTGAGAATAATCAATGTATTTTAAGTGGTAAGTATAGTAATGATTAATGTATTGAACCTATATAAAATGTATTCATGACATACATGTATACATACACACACATATACAAGGATCTGGCTATACTAATAAAAGTATTTTGATATGTATGGAAAGCTAAAGATTACATTATACTACAGTATCAGAAAGATGGTTAATATATACAGTTGTTTGAAAGATTAATGCATAGAGTTCAAGTTCTGCAACTCCTAGGGTGTGGTATGTTTTTGTTTTATTTTCTAGGAGACTCTGAATTTCTCATTCAGACAAAGAGATCATATAACTTGAAATGCATTTATTATCTATTTGTCCAAATATATGTGAATTTAATGCTAAAGTCTCCAGATACTGAATAATTCACATTAATTATGAAAATAGAAAAATGACTGCATGCATATTCCTACTCTATTGTCTGTCTATATACATTAGGTATTCCACTTGGTTTCTGAAAAGTCCACTTATCTTATTGTAATACATAATGATGAAATGAGAAATTTAAATATCTAAACAGGAAATAAAAATAACATAAATAACATCTTCCAAGTGACTTGTTACTTCACTCACTAAGGCAGGTCCTCTTCTGTTTAGATCAGTAGGCCTCTGGCATGGTAAGGGGATTATGGGAACAACACTTTCCTGTTTATGGCTGCCAGCCAGGCTCAACTCTATCAAGAGCCCCTGCTGATAGAACCAATCTCATTGCTCTCCACGCCCCATCTCACCTCACTGCTCCATTGTGAAATACTTAAGAGTCTCTGGAGTACAACATGATTATTAAGACTGTAATGACAATGGGAGGTATTTTCATTAACAAGATAGTTATAGCTTGATAAAGGAAAGAGAAACAGAACTTTTACACGAGGTTCCAAGTTGTCCCTGAGATGATCAGATTGACTTCTCTGTGCCAAGGTGACTTACAATGGATCTAGCACCAGTGAAGACTCTAATTCTCAATGCATAGAACCTATTAACGTAAGGCATCACACAAAAATCTGGTGTAGGCAAGGAATGTGACCAACCAACCAACAGCCTGATTGAAAATAACTATTGATTATGAATGTGTTGCCTTTGACTTTTTTCTCTGTGTTATATTTTATTTCCCCAAAAGACAAGCTTTTGTGTAGGGGAAGAAGGAAAGCCTTTAGTAAACAATAGAAGAAAGGCTACTGGTACAAGTTATAGGAGATGTCATAGGCAAAGAAGTCTGAGAATTGTTTAGGTTAACCAAAATAACAAGAAATATCCTTTTGGCTAGCATAGAGCATAAGAAAAAAAAGAGGGAGAGATGGTACACAACCAAAAGGCAATGGATGCTCACCCTCCAGGATAAATCATGATGGGTCCACATGCAGCCAAGGCAACAAGCCCCTGGTGGTGTGAGACTAGATCAGGAAAGGGTGAAAACAAGCAAGGCAACTTAGAGGATCCCAGTGAAAAACGCCAGAGGATATAACATAAAAGGAACTTAGAAGGAAGGTCTCCCCACATAACTAGACATTGAAAGGTAACTGAGAGTTTCCCAGCAGAACGTAAGCTCCACATAGGTGGAAAACACAGGGATTATGTTCACTGTTCAATCCACAGCCCTGAACACAATGCTTCATGCTTGGGTAGGCAAGCAAATATTTGCTGAATAAATAAATAAATGAATGAGGATCACCACATCTGGACTTTCGTACATTTGGGGCAGGGATCGGGATTGCCACTTTCATATACAAATAAGGAATTCGACAGTTTTATATTGTATCTATCAATATTTATATCTAGAGCTTCCTGGTCTATATTTTAGATTATTTCTGTGAGAGCTAGTATTTGGAGAATGGTGTTGAATAGATGAAATACACCAACTCTGCCACTTTCCTTAATACTTAAATCAAATTGTACTGCTATGTGTGATTCGAAGGAACCACTTCAGTCCTATTAAAGCCCATAAGAGAATGAGTGGGATGCCTGGCATGGCGTTTTTTGGCTTATATCTTATACATTCTTATATCTTATACATCAGATATAAGAATGGAGTGATACTGGAAACAGAATCCTCAATAGTTCAATAATTATCTGAATAAATATCTGAGTTCAATAATTTTTCAGAGATTCAATATCCTGGACCATGCTGTCAGCTGTTTTACATACGAAAAGTGTCCTTAGTTAGTGAGATGGGTTGCAAATTGACCAGGAATAAACAATTCAAATTTTTTAAAGTCAAGAATGTAAATGATTAATGAAAACAGATACTGAGGTACAAATGATGTAATCTGGAATTCAAAAACCACACCTTCTATGACAGCACTATAACATCCTCAAGTGTAAATAGGGTTGGTTGTTCAACCTGCAGGCTTGTGAGAGATTAGCTATGCATCACAGTGAGAACCAAAACATATGTACTTTATCCAATCTGCACTTTTCCACACTCAATTTGTTCTCTAATATTGTGAAAACTCAGCTTACCAGATGCTTCACCGCCACTCACAAAAGGAAGAAGAGTAGATTTGCGGGGAGAGAAATACAGGTAGATACCTGTGGACCATCTATGTAGAGGGAACTTGTGCAGAGATTCAAATATTGATTCCCTCAGCCTTTAGGGTTTCTTGCCTCAGTGATGTCCATTTACCCAAGCATGCAATATAAAGATGATCATTCTAATGTGTGCCATGACCTTAATATGACTGAGAAGCACAGGTGCAGTGGGCAAGTAAATATTTGCATTTAGAACTCATCAGATGATGTCTGGAGCAGAGGTTTTGTCAGCGTTACAGGTACTAATAAAAAGCACGAAGAGAGAATACCACTTCCAGCCATGGTGGACTAGCTGGTATCAGACTTGCCTTCCTGCTGTAACAACTAGAATACTGAACAGTATACAGGAAACTCCTGTATTATTGAACAATGGATAACACAGGACCATGACTCTGAGAAGAGGAATACAATCAAGATTAACTGCTACCTTCTCCACAGCTTATCTTTTTTTTTTTTTTTTTGAGACAGAGTTTCACTCTTTTTGCCCAGACTGGAGTGCAATGGCGCAATCTGGGCTCGCTGTAACCTCCACCTCCCAGGTTCAAGCGATTATCCTGCCTCAGCCTCCTAAATACTTAGGATTACAGGCATGCATTACCATGCCTGGCTAATTTTGTATTTTTAGTAGAGATGGGGTTTCTCCATGTTAGTCAGGCTGGTCTCGAACTTCCGACCTCAGGTGATCCTCCCACCTCGGCCTTCCGAAGTGCTGGGATTACAGACGTGAGCCACAGTGCCCAGCCAGCTTGCTTCTTAAAAGCACTTTTTGGATTGCAGCAGATGGAGGTAAGGATCAACGCTTAGGAAGGCTGAAGCAGCTAGAATTAGCAGGGCACAGTACCAGAGAAGAGTTAGCTATGTAGATAAAGAGCTCAACAACCTTACCTGAGGGTGAATACTTTACATCTGGCCTAACAAAGCTTAAAAAGAAGCCTCAAATAAGTAAAACTGATGCACAAATAACTGCCCACAAAACAAAATTCAGTCCTCTTTAAAAGAAATCAACAAAATCGAGACACTAAGTCACAATATCCAGCAACCAATAAAGATTTTGAGAAATATTTTTTAAGAAAGAAAAATGTGAGCCATAACCAGGATTTAAAAAAAAAAAATCAATCAATAGAAAAACATGTATAAAAAGAAGTAAACCAGAACAAAGACAGAACTGTAGGAAACACTTGGTCAAGGTATAAAAAATAGAAATAAAAAAAAAGGTTCAGCAACTTACGGAAAAGGAATCCTGTAAGATAATTAGAAGAGGTCAGGCATTGTGGCTCATGCCTGTAATCCCAGCACTTTGGGAGGCAAAGGCAAGAGGATCATTCAAGGCCAGGAGTTCAAGACCAGCCTAGGCAATATAGTGAGACTCTATCATTACAAAAAAATAAAAAATCAGCCTGATGTAGTGGTACGTGCCTATAGTCCCAGCTACTCAGGAGGCTGAGGTTGAGGCTGCAGTGAGCCATGATCATGCCACTGCACTCCAGCCTAGGGAACAGAGCTAGATCCTGTCTCAAAAAAAAAAAAAAAAAAAAAAAAATGATGTGAGAAGAATCAGGAGTGATGTGTTATGGAAGTCATGTAAGGAGAAAATTTCAAAAAAGAGAAAGTGGTCAACAAAGAGATCAAGTAAGACAGAAACTCAGAAGTGTTCGCTGGATTTCGTAAGAAGATACCTACTAAGCCTGGCCACACAGTTCCAGTTGAGACATAAGGGAAGAAGTTGTATTGCTGAGAGTTTCTGGAGTGAATGGGATATGAGGAAGGAGAGATGACAGCCATTTTGAGGATAAGATTGCCTTTGCCCAGGTTGGGCAATTATATGTATGTTTTACCTTAGAAAACAATTTTTTCAGCTATTCTACCACATTTCTTAGCAGTGTCTACTTTCTCTTCCAGTCACATTTCTTTTTAACACTTAAGTACTCCCAATAAGAATTATCCAAGTAAAATTGTTACCAAAAAAGGCATTCAGCAGCTTTTGAACCTGAATGTTGCTGCCCACAGTGCGGTACAACCCCTCTGTCTTGATCCCTAGTGGGGGGAAAAAACAGGTTAGTTTCACTTGCATAGCGAGAGCTGTCATCTCCCTCTGGTATGCTAGAGTCAGTTCAGATAGGAAGGGGTGACACTACATACTCCAAGTTCCCCAGCCTTCCCGATAACAGGGGAATAGTCCTAAAGCATCTCTCCAAATTATCCATCCTTTCATTTGGAGTGTACCAAGCCCTCATTAATCTGAAGAGAAGAAAACAAATCCTATAGTAAATAGAAGCATATACTTAGTTTGGGCAGCAGCAGAAAGCTGAAAATGGCACTGCCATCTTAGAAAGGAGTTCATTTAATTGAAAAAGGAGGAAGTATCAACCCTCAAGTTCCTCTAAGCAGCGATATAAAGTAGGAGAGGGCTGGAGTAAGGCAGCTGTGAAACAAAAGGCCATTTCCTGCACCAAAAAAGACTGAAAAAAAATTCAAAGAACAAACAGGCTTGATTCATACACTACACTTGCCTACAGTCAAAATATCCTCAGAAGGAAAACAGGGCGTATCGGCAACCAGGAAGAACGCTGATTCTACATCTCCCTGAGTTTAGCTCAGCCCCCCATCAATTTTTATACCAATATGTATTGTGGCAGAAATTGAACTCCTGATTATTTAGGATAGAATCATCATGACACTGCTTAATGAGTTCCAGGTACTATTTGAGAATACTTTATAAAACTATAAACTTATAAACCTATAACCTTTTCAAACCTAATGGGAAGAATCCACAAATTATCCAAATATGTTTAGAATTTTCTGAAATTTTATAGTTTGCATCTAGTACACAAGCTTTAGAAACAGTCTTCATTCCTAAAATGCTACTTCAGAGAAATTACCCAGGATAAAATCAGAGTGACCAGATTTCAGACAATGCCAAGGCTATGGTTCAGATCTTACCTTTGGTCTCAATAATATTGATGCACTTTCTAACAAACTTGAAGCCCACTTCATTTAGCTCCACTGTTTCAAGCAAAGGAAAACAGAGTTAGATTCTGCTGCAACAAGTGTCACCTACTAAACATTTAATGACCATGCAAAGGGACTGCATGGAGAGAGCTAGGGTGTTTGTTTGCTCATCTCCAATCACTCTTAAGTGGAAAAATTCATTTATTCAGGGGAGGTTTAGCATTTTAACTCTCATAACACAAAATACTTCTATTTAGCTCTTTGCATTGTCTGCTTTTAGCATGAGCAAAGTCATATGTGAAATGGTAGCAAGAAATATACACAGTTTCTATCATGCTTCCAGAGCAGGAAGGATATAATATGTTTCTCTACCCACAATGTAAGCTAACATGAAGTATCTACCTTAGTTCAATTACCAGATGCATTAAAAAATATATATGACTGAATTTCATTTCACACAAAGGCATCCATATACAGACTTGTGTTAATAGTACGCATCATTAATGATTATATAATCATCATTAATGATTTATAACATCAGTACAACAAAAACTTGAATGACTCACTTTCTTGCTGTTTTGTTATAGGGCTGTGGTAGATCTACAAAAGAAGAGAAACAGAACGATCCATGGCTACTGTTAATCAATATAGGAAAACAGAGAACTTAATAGTAAATCTCTTTCCCCAGATAGGCATTAAAAAATGACTAGAAACTCCAGGAGGTTAACAAGATAGTAAAGTGGGTTAAATGTAACCATTTTGCCAAGATTGCTAGAAAATACTTGAACAGACCAGGCGCAGTGGCTCACGCCTGTAATGCCAACAATTTGGGAGGCCAAGGTAGGCAGATCACTTGAGGTCAGGAGTTTAAGACTGGCCTGGTCCTCACCATAGCACTAGATGTTGCTTCTAGAATCAAGCACTGAGTGGCTTCTAGAATTGAGGCACTACATCAAACCTTCAGAAAGGCCAATGCCTGTGGTTCTCAAAGTGTAGTCGGGCCAGGGACCCCTGGGAGTCCCCAGACCCTTTCAGGGCCTCCATAAGGTCAAAACTATTTTTATAATAATATAATACTAAGATGTGATCTGCCTTTTCCACTCTTGCTCTATCAGTGTGCAGTGGAGTTTTCCAGAAGCTTTGCAATGTGTGGTAATGCAACAGATTGAGTACAGAGGCAGATGTGAGAATCCAGCCATCTTCAATTTAGCCAGCTGTTAAAGAGACTTGAAAATATGTAAAATGATACTGCTCTTCTTATTAGACCATTTTGTCCTTAAAAATCTAGGATTTTAAAAATAAAAACGTTATTGATATCAACATGTAATAAGTTTATATGTTAAATGAATTAATAAATGTTTTTAAATTTAAAAAAGAAAGACCAGCCTGGTGAATATCATGAAACCTGTGTCTACAAAAATTAGCCAGGCATGGTGGTATGCACCTGTAATCCCAGCTGCTGGGGAGGCTGAGGCAGGAGAATGGCTTGAAACCAGGAGGTGGAGGTTGCAGTGAGCCGAGATTACGCCACTGCACTCCAGCCTGGGTAACAGAGCAAGACTCTGCCTCAAAAAAAAAAAAAAAAAAAAAAACTTGAACAATTCCTGAAAATTACACTGAATTTCACACAGTTCACTGTATCTAAGTTGTAGCCAATCCATCTTAGATATTTACTTATGTAACACTTGGAGCATTTTTATGATAAGGCAAGGAAGCAGGAAAGTGTTTTCCTCATGGCTATGTACCTGTCTAATGGGCATTATAAAATTTAAATATTCCTAACACCAATCTCCACCCTCAAAGACTAGCTGATGAATGCTTCTCTGGAGAAAGGTAAATGTCCATCTGAAAGAGATCCATGAATACACCAAGATTAGTCTGTGTTGTCTTGGAGCATGTGCTGCAATAGCTATGTGAGAGACCAGAAAGGAGACTGTTGACTCTTGAAGTCGAGTCCAGGCTCTGCCTCTACCTCTTTAGGAAATTTTGGACATGCCCTTTCCATTTTCCAGGTCTCAAAATTTGTATCAGTAAAGTGATCAAGGTTGGAGTAGATGTTCCTTCAAGCCCTGATCTTCTTTGACAATTTAGGCAACGGCATGGATGAGATATGTAAGACTAGTGAACTGGAGTGTTTAGTAAAGCAGCAACAACGTTAGTAATGTGACGCTGCAGGAAATGAGCCCTCTATATGCCATCTGTTAAGAGTCTGTTTGGACAGCCTCTCCTTAAAATAAGTTCTGCATATGTGTATATGCCCACAGATATTTCAGTAGGAGAGATTTCTGTGCTGGCCAGCCTTTGCTGCCACTTTTCTAAACAAGGGATTTGTGAAAAATCTGCCATGATCAAGTTGGTACAGATCCACATTCAGTGGGCCCATGTGCTCCCATCACTCTCCACAAAAAGCCATCTGCATCCTTTGATTTTTAAAAACCTAAAGGGAGAGCAAACTTGGGAGAGGGAATCAAAAGATAAATGCCTTGCTGAGCTTCATAGCATCTGCCTACAGAAACCTCATAAGCATGAAAGAGTTCAGCAGCAGGTTTCTGCGAGGTGACAGAGGGAAGACAGTCCTGGCATATTTTCTCAATGGCAGTCTTCAGAATACCAAGTCTTTCCTGCTACCTTCCAGTTTACTATAAGTGCAATCTGGGATCTAGTTACCCTTCTTAAATCTCCAGCATACTGAGGATGCATATGAAGAAAAACCTGGAATGTATTTTCCCTCCTAGCCAGTTTTTCACTTGAATAAAGCAAGGAAATAAGACTGTATCTGAACACTGTTAGATCTTAGGAGTTCTGCATCCCCCATTCAGATCAGCTAGCACACTGTGGTTTACAAGATGACTTTCATCTGGTTTTCATAAGCAACCCTGCGAGACAGGTAAAAAGAAATTATTAAAGCCGTTTTATTGAGGAGAAGAAAATGAGCCTCAGAGAGGTGAAATGATTTGCCTAAGGTCACATAGCCATTTAATGGCAGCACTAGTACCTGTATCCAAGCTTTCAGAATTCCAACACCAGGAAGAGATTATTTCATATGCAACTAAGAAATCAGAATGTTTTTCAATGATTTCCAACTGTTCCTATTGGTTGCTTGATGATACTCAGTAACCCTTTCAAGGGATTGTGTGTCCCCCTGCATAACGGTGCTCTAAACGGAACAGTACATCTTGGGATACAGGATGGCAATGCCATCTCCACTACCAGCTGTACCCTTAAAGAGAATAAGCTGAGTTGGTGGTATAAGGGTGAGGCAGAAAAATCATTCTGAATAAAAGCTTAATAAGTGCTTATTTATAACTATAGCAATTATTTTTCATATTAACATAATTAAGTAACACATACTGATTTTATAACCTGAAAAATGGCTTAATTCTTTCTGAAGAAAAGCTTATGGACATAGCTACATAGCCTAACACTAGAGCAGGGAGCTGAGAGAGCTGCATTCTATGCCTCGTTTTGATGTCTTCTCTGAGCGTGGTCTCAGAAAAGTCCCTCAACCTCTCTGGAACTCCAGTTGCCTTACCTGCTAAGAGATGTAGAAACAACTTACAACTCTAAAACTTTTGAGACTAAACAATCCATTCACCATTTAATTGTCTTAGACCCACTGATACCACTAGAGGGCACTCATACACTGGCATATGCTGGGGAGATTGCCCCAGTGTCAGGTAACTTACAGGCTCTTTCCCATCCATGGCTTCCATCCAAAGCCTTCTGTTAGCTTCTGAAAGGGCCTGCAGAGTGATGGTTCCTGGCCTGAAGGGGGGAGGGGAATGATAAGTTTAAAGCAGAAAACTCATCTGAAAGAATGGAGTCTTGTGATCTAGGATCCCTCTCTGCCCTGGAGGTCGTCACACTGAACAAGCACAGGCCTACAGAATACGCATTTTTCAAAAATCTCTTTTACTCAGGAAAACAATGAGCAATTTAGAGAACAGTAACTTTGGGAACCATGGAGGTGGGGGTGGCATCTTGGCGGCCTTGTGCCAAGATCGTGTAAGAAATAGGAAGGTAAATGTCAAGACGCCTCCATAACGCACACCTAAATTGGCTCCATTGTGCTCAAACCAAACAGAGGCTCTCCCTGCCTTCCTCTCTTGGAAGCCAGCCACTTTGTCTGAGCTCTAGGAGTGAGCATGTACATCACAGGCACATTCATCTGTCAGTGAAATGCCTTTGCTTCTTCTAGCACCTGCGATGTCCAAGAAGCATTTTGAGTTGGAATAAATTCAACAACATGCATACTGGCTGAGACACAGGGAGGAGGTGTTTTGGCTAACAAGCAATTTTATGACTAATAACAACTAATATATGCTGAATGCTTACTAGGTGACAAATTGTTTTCTAAGTAAACTATGTATATTTAACTGAACACATACAATAAGGCAGTTGTTATGGTAATCATCCTTATTTCACAGAAGGGGAAACTGAGGCACAGAGTAATTATCCAAGGTCATATAGCAGGGAACTACTAGAGGCAGGACTTAAACCCAGAAAGTCTGGTCCAGCAGCCATATTCTTCACTAGTGTAATATAAGGCCTCTTCTGCATGGCACACCGCTTCAGACCCTGTTTTACTCTATTTATTTGCAGGCTACCTGCCGTGGTCTGAATATTTCCCAAAATTCATATGTTGAAACTTAACTGCCAATGTGATGATATTAAGAAATGGGACCTTTAGGAGGTGAGTTAGTCATCAGGATAGAACCTCACGAATGGGATTAGGGCTCTTTTACAAAAACTTGAAAGAGTGGGTTCGTTCCTTTCCATCTCTCCTGACATATGAGGACACAGTATTGGTGCTCTCTGGAGGGCACCAATCTTGGAAACAGAGACCAGGCCCTCACCAGACACTGACGGTGCCAGTGCTTGGTCCTGGACTTCCAGCTTCTAGAAGTGTGACAAATGAATTTCTGTTGTTTATATATTACTGAGTCTCAGGCATTTTGTCATAACATCACAAATGGACTGAGAAACTACTCACTATCCAGAGATACCCCAAGTTGGTATGCTCCTTAGCGTCTTTTTAGACCTTTGTGTCTCAGCTGCAATTTTGAGATTAACCATACTTTACGCAAGGTATAAAGTCTCCTTGCATTCTCTTGGCCAGCTGAGCCATTAGGAAAACATTGTTTCTTCCACAACTTCTATGATAAGATGAGACCTCTTCTAGAGTCATAGAATGATAAAAGCAATGCCAAGAGAGTTCAGCCATCCTGGACAAGTAACTAGGCCTCTCTAGACCTCAGTTTCTTTATCTGAAAGGGTGCTGGAACACATGAGCTGCGAGGTCCTTTCTGTTACTGATATCACAGGAATCCTGTTCTACCAGTTGGAATCATGGGGTTCCTGTTCTAGTACCTCTTGCTTCATTAAAGCACCCCATAATAACAGTCTCATGGTTACTGGCAACAATATATACTTCCACAGCTCTCTTGAATGTGGTCATCCATTGTTAACACAGAAATGATTTAGATTCACAAATCAAAATTCTAATCCTATCACCTCCCTCATGTGACTGGGGTGAAGACTAAAGGAAATTATACACTTAAATGGCTGATAACAGTGCCTGGCACACAGGAGGTACTTGGCAAATGTTAGCAATTGTTTTTATTATTATTACCATGATTGTTGTTGTTGTTGTTGTTAAGACATTTTGAGCTCTGCCTTGCTATGAGCCTGTCATTTTAAATACTGTTAAGAGTCTCAATTTAGAACCCAGGTGCAGTGGCTAACATCTGTAATACCAGCATGTTGGGAGGCTGAAACGACAGAACCACTGCAAGCCAGGAGTTGAAGAGCAGCCTGGGCACCATAGCAAGGCCCTATAGCTACAAAAAGTAAAAAATTAGCCAGATGTAGTGGTGCACACCTGTCAGTCCCAGCTACTCAGGAGGCTCAGGCAAGAGGATCACTTGAACCCATGCCACTGCAAACCAGCAAGGGCAACAGAGTAGGACCCTCTCTCTAAAAAATTAAAAGTTAAAAAAATGAAAAATCTTATCCTCTCTTCCCGACATAGAAAAAGTGACTCAAAGAGCCCTCTGCTCTGTACTTCAGGGAACATGAGTACAGCTGCCTGATGCCTGCTAGGAAGCCTGACTCTGTTCCTTCTATCAGATTGACTAGCCAGAAAAGCAGATGTCATGTCACTCAAAAGACTCCACGTGCAGAGAGGGGCCTCGGCACCTGTTCATTACTATATTTAATGATCTATTTTGCAACTTGTTTCTTCTGCTTATAATAGACAATAGGACAAAATTAAAAACAGCATAGAGCCAGGCGTGATGGCTTACGCCTGTAATCCCAGCACTTTGGGAGGCCGAGGCAGGTGGATGTCTTGAGACCAGAAGTGCAAGTCGAGCCTGGCCAGCATGGTGAAATCCCATTTCTACTGAATATACAAAAATTAGCCAGGCATAGTGGCGCACACCTGTTGTCCCAGCTACTCGGGAAGCTGAGGCAGAAGATTCCTTTGAGTCCGGGAGGCAGAGGTTACATGCCACTGCACTGCAGCCTGGGCAACAGAGAGAGACTCTGTCTCAAAACAAACAAACAAACAAAAAGAAACCAGCATGGGCTTTGGAGACCTACAGACCAGGATTTGAGCTCAGCCTCACCACTTACTGTGTGACTTTATTTGGGTAAGTCAGTTAAATGTATGTGGGTCTCAGTTCCTCACCTGTAAAATGAGGAATAGATGAAACAAGAGAATGTTTTGTAAAGTGCACAGTATATAATAACTAAAAGTGTAGATGCATCAAAACTTTAATCCCTGGGTTCTAGTGTCATAATTCTTCAGCATTCTGGGATAAGAAAAAAAAACACATTTAAAAATAAACATCAAATTTAGTACTTATCATGAGCCATGCATAGCACCAGGTACAAGAAACATAAATTGATCCTAGCCCTAACCACAGGGACAAACTGTTTACAACTGCTTGAATTGGGGATATTACTTGCATAAAAGGGAAACTACAGCCAACAGTAATTTTTCCCTTCCTACTGGAATTGAGGCTATCAGGCAAATGAGTGACAGTCTTGTGGTTGTTAGCAACAATCTATACTTCCACAGTCATGTTGATTGGGACCATTTATTTTTAACAAAGAATTTATATCAATTCACAAATAGAAATTGCGAGGGTCAAATTATAATCTCTCAATTTTAAAATAAGGAAACAAGCTAAGTCCTTTATTCCCTGATTTTTAAAAAACGCCCTCATCATTTAGTCTGACTGTTACGATCCCAGTCACTGCTAGTTTTGTTCACATGATATTGTAATTCACCCTTCAAGTTCCTTTCTAGCAATCTGATCATTTTGTGGAATTCTATTCTATTACTAAGCACCTAACATATAGAAATAAAAGGCTGAAATAAAATCTAGAAACAGATACATTCTGTTTATTTTGATTCAGTCACCCAACTATAAAGCATGCCTTTCTCCACAATAATGCCAAATACACGCATTTGAAATTTCCTCCGATAAAACTGCTCAGGTTCAAGTAAAAAAAGAGGGCACTGGGGAGAAACAAATACAACAAAGTCCAAAATGTGCAAGCCTTAGTTCTAAGATCTGAAAGGTGATAATCACACTATTTCGTATTCATATGAATATCTACAAAGTAGGGAAAGTCTGCATCATTTTTGCACCAAATGGGAGAAAAATACTTTCTAACAGCACCATGACCCTACACTCCATCTTTTCTCCCTCAAAAATGTGTGCCAATTCATTTGTTCTTTTATGTGATATTAGGAGATTTTAAAAGAAATGAGCTTTGTTATCCTTTCCTCCTTGTAGGATCACCAAATGTTGACTTTTTGCACATCTGATAGCAAATTAAATCCCAGGGGAGACTTTTTCTTACCAGAGCAAGTGAGGCAAAGCTGACAGAAGCTTGCACAGAGAAAAGCAGCACTGGGCCAGGTCTAACAGGGATCCCTGGGAAGGGCAGCCAGAAGAGCTGGCTTGAATAGACTCACAACAAAGTCCTGAATAGACTTACTCATTGTCATCAACGAAGGATGACGGAGGAAAATAAAAGACCTACCCAGGCTAAGCATCTGGCACGTGGGGACATTGCCAAGTCACAGTAGCACAGCTTACCTTTCATTAGTTTCTATATCAAAACAGAACCGCTTGTCAATAGACTCCGTCTTCCTTCTCACACAGTACTTCAGTGTTAAGTCCAAGGGCCCCTGATATGAAAGAAGAATTAACAGGCAACTTTTTAAAAAAGACACAGAAACTGTTTCTGTTTCCTCCCGTGTCCTCAGTGCCACTTGGAAGGCATCTGTCAAGGCAGCAGGAGCAATGTGTAGACTCACTGAGAATCTTGTCCCTTCAAACAGTATTTGCAGCAATATGGCAGATGGTTTCTCCCTGCTCCAAGAATCAACGGGTGAGACCAGGAGAAAATGTTCAGAGTTGTCCAGCACTCTTTCCCAAGCAGGAGGACTTAATAGGAAGCTCAATACACATCATGTAAAAGGAGTGTAGGAGAAATGGGCTGCCCGAATGGCATTAAGTATACAGAATAAAATTTTCATGAGGCCTCTAGGGAGGGAAATTGTGATGGGGTAAATGGCTGTCTAAAACCTCCCTTAGAAAGTCAGGGCATAGCTGAGCAAAGAAGCTTCCATTAAAGTGGCAGATGAAGGAGGGGAGACAAAATTTCTGTCCCCCAACTCCAGACTCTTGAGAACGACAGAAATCACAAATGTAATAGTCCAAAGGTAGGGCAAAAGTAGAGGAAATAGTAAATGTGTGTATTAGTCATGGTGGCATTTGATATTTCATATGTGCAGCAAGGACAGTGGGGCCCAATTTAGTCTTGTAGGTAATTAAGGGAATTGAAACCCATTGTGTCCACAGACTAAAATTCTGCAGTCTCACATTGTCCAGATTCTCTCTCTTATCTCAACACAGACCATGTGATACAGGAAACAGAAGTAACATTTATCACCTGCTATGTGTCATATATTATGCTAGGCTTTTGTTTGTTTGTGCTGTCTTGTTTTGTTTTGTTTTGTTTTGTTTTGTTTTGTTTTGTTTTGTTTTGTTTTTAGATGGAGCCTTGCTCTGTTGCCCAGGCTGGAGTGCAGTGGTGCGATTTCGGCTCACTGCAGCCTCCACTTCCCGGGTTCAAGCGATTCTCCTGCCTCAGCCTCCTGAGGAGCTGGGATTACAGGTGCCTGCCACAATGTCTGGCTAATTTTTTTGTATTTTTAGTAGAGACGGGGTTTTACCATGTTGGTCAGGCTGGTCTCGAACTTTTGACCTCTTGATCTGCCCACCTCAGACTTCCCAAGTGCTGAGATTACAGATGTGAGCCACCATGCCTGGCCTATACTAGATATTTTTAAGTCACTTTTCTTATTAACAACCATTATAGAGAAGTGACACTTCATCCAAGTTGGTAAAGTGGAAATAGCAATACACTAGAAAGCTTAAGACCTAGGGTCTTGTCTCAATTATGCCATTTACCAGTTATGTGACCCTGGCCAAAGTGTGGTGGGTCACACCTGTAATCCCAGCACTTTGGGAGGTCAAGGCAGGTGGATCATCTGAGATCAGGAGTTGGAGACCAGGCTGGACAACATGGCAAAACCCTGTCTCTACTAAAAATACAAAAATTAGCTGGGCACAGAGATGGGAAACCCTGTAATCCCAACTACTCAGGAGGCTGAGGCAGGAGAAATGCTTGAACCCAGGAGGCAGAGGTTGCAGTGAGCCGAGGTCAAGCTACTGTACTCCAGCCTGGGTGACAAAGTAAGACTCCATCTCAAAAAAAAAAAAAAAATCATATTACCTAAGTCTTAGCTTTGTAATCTATTAAATGGGAATAACACAACCCACTGTGCTATCTTAAGTTAGGAAACACTGCCCAAGTGCCTACATACTATGACATACAAACTGGCCCATGTGGCTTATTACCCAATACTTCTTGCTCATCAGCACACTCAACCACCTGCAGGCCAATCTTTCCCTGCTCCTGACTATAACAACTCAACTCTAAATTAATCTTTCAATATGCCTTCCTATCCCAAAACTTCGGATGTCATATGTTAGTCTTTCAAAACGAGAGTTATGAGCAAAGTCATGGACTCACTCTATCTCTTTAAATTCTCAATGCCCTCAGCGTCAATGCCATTGCAGCTCAGGAAACTAGGCCCTGCCCATCACTCCAGTCTCATCTCCAGCAGCTGCCCACCTGTTTAATGCTCCTACAATGCAAAAGTACTCTTATTTCACGTACATGTCATGCTATTTCATGATTCCATGACTTTGCATATATTAATCCCTCCACCCAAAATGGCCTTGTCTATCTTCTTTGCCTGACTAAATTCTTATTTATTCCACAAACTGCAGTTCAGCTTTCACTTCCTCAAAAATCCTTCTTCAAACGAACACACTGCCCACTCTGTGCTTTGCACATAATAGTAAAATTTCCTGTTTTTATGTTTAATTTCACCACTTGACTAGGAAGTCTTCAAAGACATGAACAGTGTTGTATTCATCTTTATACCTCCAGTACCCTGCAAATACTTAGTACTCAATAAATGTTTGTGAACTACTTTATCATCCTTACCACTTTTCTGATGAGGAAACTAAGACTGAGCAACATTAGGGAATTTACTCAAGGTCAAAAAGCTACAAGACCACAGAGCAAATTTAAACATAGGTCTGCGGATTCAAAATGTACTCCTTCTGACCACAAATTCCTAACAAAGAAGGTATGAAGATCCAATAAATTATCATTTGAGAAGTTGACCAGAAAATTGAACATGACAACAAGATGAGAGCTGACAGGCTAAAGCAGTGGGACCAATACTATACTAAGTGCCATAGTCAGAAAGATGGCCAATTCCTGCATCTTCAAATTGGTCTCACTTCCTACACAAATTGGGGACACTGACTTCACACAGCTGCTAGGAGGGCAAATGAGGAGCATGAATATGACAGAAGGGTCTAGCTCAGTGTCTGGCACACAGCAGGTATTCAAGAAAAGGTGGCTTTTGTAGTGTTATTATGGTGTCATTTATTCGTAAAATTTACAATTGTAAAATACAAACTAGTATTAGGAAGTGGAACAGAACTGACAGGAAGAAGTTACTTCCAACTCCAATTTGGGGAAATCCAAGTAACTCCCACCACCTCCCTCTGCAAGTGAGTAACTAAGTTCTTCTTTCCATTCCATAAAGAATACCACATTAAAAATGCTCAGGCCACCACCATTGCAGTTTTGCATGCAGCTACTCAATGAAAAGAGAAGAGGGAAAGAAAAACTAAAAGGAGGGCTTGCTGGCATCTGTCAGGAGGATATGAAAGTGGCATCTGCTGACTCTGTCTTGGGCTTTGAAATAAGCACCTCTGAACAGCCTCAGAGTAAGTAACTAAAGGAAATTATTGTCTACCAAAGAAGGTTTCCTCTCTGGTATTTGAAAAGTAATATATATAGAAAAATAAAAGAAAGAGACTGCAGGCCAGTGTTGCTTATAAGCACTTCCTAGTCAGATTGATTAGCTAAGTTCCGACTGACTTGGAACAAATCCGTGCTAAAACGAGGATGAATTTATTGGAATCACACTGAAAGGTGCTTTGGCAATTGGCAGACTGAAAACTAAGGAGGGTTTTCAATGAGTAACTGGCCCATGATAAAAAACACAGCCGGCCGGGCGTGGTGGCTCACACCTGTAATCCCAGCAATTTGGGAGGCTGAGGTGGGTAAGTAATTTAAGTTCAGCAGTTCGAGACCAGCCTAGCCAACATGATAAAACCTCATTTTTACTAAAAATACAAAAATTAGCTGGGTGTGGTAGTGCACACCTGTAATCCCAGGTACTCAAGAGGCTGAGGCAGGAGAATTACTTGAACCTAGGAGGTGGAGGTTGCTGTGAGCCGAGATCGTGCTATTGCACTCCAGCCTGGGTGACAACAGTGAAGCTCTGTCTCAATAATAATAATAATAATGAAGCATAGCCAAGGATTCCAGAAACTCTGTTTGATACAACATCTTCTACAATTCTATCCTATCAAAGCACATTAAAGCAGGGAGGCAAATCTTGTGGTTAAAACCACCCCACTCCAAAAAAAATTTCAACAGGCTGCAAACAAGTTTCCGTCCTCTCTAATTTCATATGAACAAGCCATACAAGAGAGATCTTCCATGGAAAGGACCAGCAAGGGAGAGAAACTGTCCCAATTTTTCTCCAAATTCCTCCCTACCTAAATTGGGTCTTCATGTACTATTTCAATGCTAACAAGTAACCCTTAAAGCGCTTCCAACAAACAATTTGTAGGGTGAAAATGCTTAAAAATCATGCACTAAGACCCTGTCTGAGAGCCAGTTAAAGGGGAAAGAGACACATAGAGCTACTTTAAGAATATAAACAATCTGCCTAAAGATCAGTTTTTAGCTTAAGAAACTCGTGTGTGTGTGTGTGTGTGTGTGTGTGTGTGTGTGTAAAAGATCAGGTTCTTCCAGGTGAGTAAATTATTTTTTCAGTGTGTTAAATTTATCTTGTCATTTTCAGGAGTGAGAGAAGCTTTGGAGGGCAGAAGAGTGAATAACTGGTTAAAGATACTTGAGTAGTACATAGAATGTGACTATAGGTTATTCCAACTGTAGGCCACAAACACACTCCTGTAAAAAAAAGGAATTTTGGAATTCAATTAATATTTTTAAAACTTGCATTTTAAAGAATCTAAGAGTAGAGCATTCTTAAAAGTAATTCATCCATATTTTTACATAGTTGACTGTACAGTGTGACTGGCACTTGTAAAAATAACTGGTTTGAAAGAATACAGGAACTCTCAAAAGGCTTGCTCTCTAATTAACAGAAAGACTTTTCACTCAACTCAGTGCTATCAGACTCAAACTTAGGCCAAGGTGTACATATAAAGTCATGGCTTCCCATGACAGTGATGAACTTGATGATTTGATACTAAGTCAACACATATTCTTTTCTCAGAACCAGTCACAGATCCATTTCCAAAAATGTGGCACAAACAAGAACTGACCTGCTTAGCACCTGGCTTCTGCTCCATAGGCGTCATGGTGAGTGTTTTGGTCTCTTTCTCATACTGGCAATAGTATTTCACCCAGGATATTCCTAAAGCCCCTACAAGGACAAGTAAAAGTGAGCACACAATAACTGTTTTAACTGTATAGGCAGTCGATCTGTAAAATTGAGGCTATTTACACATTGCTCTTCAGAGTCAAACTTCAGATCCAGCTCTTCCCTTGCCCTGACCACCCTCCTTTCATAGCCACCTACCTACTGTACACGGGGAGATCCTAACCTTCACCAACTGCTTCCCACATCTGCTTCTGGCTTGCTTAAAACCTACTCTAACTGCCATGTTCCCTATAAATGGTATCACCATATATCCCAGAATCTGGAGAATATTGTCATTTACTTCACTGTCTCTGTACCTGTTCCATGTGACTGGTCATTGGGTCATGCCCCTTCTAAGCAGTACAAAACTCGACACATCTCTCCTTTAGCTGTCCCCTCATCTCCATTCCTTTTAATGCTGAATTAGTTAAGAACCCTATCACTGTCTTATTTTTTTCATTTTTTAATGAGACATATTTTTAAAAAACAAAAACTTACTAACTCACCAATTAATCATTTCATTGGCATTCTCTCTGATTTCCCTATTGTCCCAATTTCTGATCACTCCATTCCAATTCATTCTCCACTCTTTTGCTAGATTATTTTAAAAATATATCTCTATTTTTGTCATTCCCCTTATTAAAAACCACCCATGGCTTTCCCACTATCTCCACACTCCTTAGCCTGCCTACAATACCCTTGATAACACGATCAAAACTTACCTTTCCAGCTTTCTTTTGACACCCCACCTCTGTGTTCCTGTCTCAATGAATTACCTTTAGTTTCCACATAAATAGGTAGCCATATAATTTCTAGTCCAAATCCCAGACTTAAGACTGAATGAGGTGGTATTATTAATAATTACATGAGGACAACAGGGGTAAAGCGGGACTATTCATGGCCAACGAGGGCCCTACAAATCAACTATGTCCATCCACAACCCTGCCTTTACTCATGCAGTGGTATATATCTGGAATTCCCTTCCTCCTTTTCTTTTCTTTCTCATTTGTTTATGTATTTATTTTTTATTCATTTATTTTTGAGACAGAGTCTTACTCTGTCACCCAGGCCGGAGTGCAATGGCGCAATCTCGGCTCATTGAAATCTCCATCTCCCGTGTTTAAGTGATTCTCCTGCCTCAGACTCTCAAGTAGCTGGGATTACAGGCATGCACCAACACACTTAGCTAATTTTTTATTTTTAGTAGCGATGGAGTTTCACCATGTTGACCAGGCTGGTCTCAAACTCCTGACCTCAGGTGATCTGCCTGCCTCAGCCTCCCGAAGTGCTGGGATTACAGGTGTGAGCCACTGTACCTGGCCATTCTTCCTTTTCTTTACCTATCAAACTCCCACTCATCATTCACATTCTAGTTCAAATATCACTTTCTTGGTGAAGTCTTTAGATATATGCCACAAATATTGTGGTCACCATATTTCATTATAATTATTGATATACCTGTCTATCTCTCCTATCACTTTACATTTCTTGGTGACAAAAATCAGGTTGATTCATTTTTTTGAGGGTGTCCCCAATGCATTGCACAGTATGTGGCCGAAACAGTGCTCATTAAGCATACATTCAATTGAGTAGCAATGTCATACCCATATGACAAATCAGAATACTGAAGCACAGAAGGATCACACAGCACACAGAAGTGGTTCTTAACTAGGGGCAATTTGGCCTCCCAGGGGATATCTGGCAACATTTAGAGACATTTTAGATTGTCAAACCTTATTACTATGAGCACAAAGTGAGGAAAGGCCAGGGATGTTGTTAAATATACTACAATACACAAGACCACTTTCCAGAACTAAGAATTATCCAGCCTGAAATGTCAACAGCACTGAAATTGAGAAATTTTATGATGTACATTTGAAGAGATGAACCTGACAAGTGGGAGAACACATCTTTGAAAATCATTAGAAGTAAATTGCTTTATGGAAAGAAAAGTGTGATAATTTCACTACTGAAGTACCACGCTTTGTGAAGGACAGTGAGTTTTGTCACTGGTAGCCTCTGGATATGTGTCTTCTGTCTACTCTCCAGATATAATAACTCTGAGCAAAACCAAATAAAGCATTTAGGGAATATTGGGTCATAGTTCAAAGGACAAATAAAATCAAATTGTACATACAGGTGTGGATAATATTACTGTGGAACTGGGAATGATCGAATGCTCTGCAACATTCAGTGACTGAACAAGTTAACCCATCTTCCTTAGTCACCAATGATAAACAAATATTGTCTTTCCCACTGGAATCATGATGTTCACTATGTGCTATAAGAGTATCCATGAGCCTGGGCAACATAGTGAGACCCTGTCTCTACAAAAAATTCAAAAATTTGCTGAGCGCAGTGGCAGGTGCCTTTAGTCACAGCCACTCAGGAGGCTGAGGTGGGAGGATTGCTTGAGCCTGGGAATATGAGGTTGTAGTGAGCTATGATGGTGCCATTGCACTCCAACCTGGGTAACAAGAGTGAGATCCTGTCTTTAAAAAGAGCAAACACGTGACTCTAATGCAGATGAAGATATAGAGTACTACAGTAGGATCATGGGTTTTGACATTTCACAGACCTAAATTTAATTTTAGTTCTGATGCTTGTTAGTTGGGTGGCTTTCAAATGGTAACCTCTCTGGTCCTTAGTGGCCTCATGTGTATGGGCATAAATTGGATGCAAAGATTAAATGAGGCAGTGTCTTTAATGAACTTAGTACCATGTCTGGTACATAATAGGTATAAGAAATATTATTTTTCTACTTCCTTTCCTCTACCTCCCTTTTTCCCAAAAGCATAATCAGAAGGATTAAAAAACAAATAATCTCAGAGAAAACCTTAGGTCTTATCATTACAGAGTCTCTGTAAGGCAAATCTTTAACTTCCTTTCAGTTTCTCCTTTTTCCTTTTCAGTATTCCCTGTCTGCGCTCCAATGGAATTGTAGCTATCAGGAGTCTATGAACAATAACAGTGCCCATAATTCAGAGCTGACAAGTGGCAGTAGTTCCTGGCTTATTGAAACCCAATGGATACCCCTATATCCCCACACACATTTCTCTTGTGTATAGAGATAGCCTTCAATAGTGGGCTGTCCTGGAAGTTTGCATGTCTGGGGAGCTTCCTTCATCCTTTTCTTAAGTTCTTCCATCTCTTCCCGGGTACTGGAGAAATGATTTCTTGTCTGTCAAGACATCATCATGAAAATCATTATCATCATCATCATGAAAAACTGTTTCTTGGTCAGAGACTCAGTACAGAGTTTTCCCTGCTTACAGCATGTGTAACCACAAGGAAAAAAAAAAGAAATGGTGAATGGCATAGTGAATAGAAAACAAGTTTATAGAGTCTAATGGTACTAAAGACTGCATAGGAAACAGGAATATAATGAGCAATACACTCATAAAATAACAACTTGGAGACTTTCTTACTAATAGGAATCACATAAGTCTCTAATAAATAAGAAATCTGAGAATTCTGAACATGACTCCCTGCTTTACAACAAGGGAGATGGCAGATAAGATTCCCAAAGGTAGCATTCTTATAGCAACTTCTAAGTTGTGTCTCAAAGTCACAGCTTAGTTGATATTGAATGAAATTCTGGCCAAGAGGATAAAATATATGAGGGTTTGCTCTCCTGGGAGACAGGCCAACAGAAGTTGTGTTTTCATACTCACAAATACCAAGGCCTAATGATGAGAATAAATCTATTTAAATCTACACAACTAAAACACAATGGCAAGACATGTGTTGAAATGTGAGTATGAAAATCACTACAGATAAGTTTATAGTATGTACTCAGTCTTAAAATTATGACATGATGTTAGTGAGAAAGGTGATCTGTGCTGCCCATCTAGTTGACCCATGCTATCATTATCCTGTAAATAAGTCACTCATATGTATACAATCAAAGGTTTGTTGTTATATTTGTATACAGCAAATAATATATGGAGGAAGATTCAAGGGATTAACTTGGTTGTAGGAAGATGTTGTAAATCAGGAAAAGATAGGGGCTCTCACATTCTGGAGAATGCTAAGTTCTGGAGAATCATGCTGCTAAGTTCTGGAGAATGTGAGAGCCCCTAGTTCCTTTCTGCATGGAGGGTATATAGAAAGAAAAAATAATAACAACTGTAAATTCTAATCCTCCTAAACAATGAAGGGCAGTTTACTTTTACTGTAATGTACCAGCATTTTTCATCTAAAACTACATCTATAAATTTCATTCAATTTAACACCCATTCTAAAGTCACCAACTCAGTGATGCCTTCTCTGACTCTACCAGACAGCCAAATGCTCTGAAATTTTTAAAAACACTTTGGCCTTGATTCTACCATAGCACTTATCATAATGGATTATGATTTATCTCTGTTTATTTCTGTCTCCTACAAGGAACTACTGTATATTCCTTTAAGACAAAAAAGCTTGCATGCATCTTCATGGTATGTCCAGTGCCTTCCACAATGCCTGACACAGAGCTTATGTTCATTTTTTCCATAAACATTTGTTTCATGTGGGTTGAATAAAGGAACATGTAAAGGAATACATGTGAAAAGGATGGGGACACTGTGCCTATATGCCCATCTGTAAGAACCAGCACGACCAAGAAGGTAGAGAAAACCTTTAAAAATAATTTACGTGACTCTACTAATAAGTACTGAGAAAAGAAAGAGAAGATAAAATGAGTGTTTGTGGTAACAAAGTTCACAGTGAGAGTGCTTCGACTGAGCAGAAAAGTACTCAAGGCCTGGGCTCAAATAAGCCTATAGCTGGGTCCTGATCTAAGAGAGATTCAGCAAATTAGCAATACTTAATAAATATTGGATAGATAAAGGTGTTGGTGTGTGGAAGGGTGGGTTTGAACTGCGGTCAGCCTCAAAAACAGGAAAGAGATGAAAGCAGAAAAGCAAGAACAGTCTAACCCACTAAATATTTGTGATCCACACCAGTATATCCTGACAAATTGGCTAGGATGCATCTAGAATTCCAAAATCAAAGTCACTGGGGCTGAAATTCGATTGGAATGGAAAGACTGGTGAGAAAAATCTACATGCAAACTCACATTCTGCAAACTGAGCTGGAGCTGCTGTTTGTATGGGAGGAAATCCTGTGTGAGCTCCACAGTCAGGCTGTTAGAAATGAACAGACTATGAAGAAAGGCCAAGACCTAGGGAAAACATGTAAAAATAAATTTATCTCTGGCATATTCTAATAAACTAAACAAAAGAAACATGAACTCACAAAAAAACTCCACGGTGTAGCCAGGTGCAGTGGCTCACACCTGTAATCCCAGAACTTTGGGACACCGAGGCAGGTGGATCACAAGGTTAGGAATTTGAGACCAGCCTGACCAACATGATGAAACCCAGTCTCTACTAAAAACATAAAAATTAGCTGGGCATGATGGCATACACCTGTAATTCCAGCTACTCAGGAGGCTGAGGCAGGAGAATCACTTGAACCCAGGAAGCAGAGGTTGCAGTGAGCCGAGATCGTACCACTGCACTCCAGCCTGGGTGACAGAGTGAGACTCCATCAAAAAAACAAACAACTCCATGGTGTTTACCTAATATAGCGTTAAATGCAGTCAAACACACAATATACACAACTGTTTTCATATCAGGTTAAACATTTACCCTTGACTCAGCTTCAGAAAATAAGAACTATTAACAAATTTATGCCATGCACGATGGCTCACGCCTGTAGTCCCAGCACTTTGGGAGGCCGAGGCAAGCAGATCACCTGAGGTTGGGAGTTCTAGACCAATCTGACCAACATGGAGAAACCCCGTCTCTACTAAAAATACAAAATTAGCTGGGCATGGGTGGCGGGTGCCTGTAATCCCAGCTACTCAGGAGGTTGAGGCAGGAGAATCACTTGAACCCGGAAGGCAGAGGTTGCGGTGAGCCAAGATCACGCCATTGCACTCCAGCCTGGGCAACAAGAGTGAAACTCTGTCTCAAAAAAAAAAAAAAAAAAAAAATTGTATTAGTCCAGAGCTTGCCCAGATCTCATACAAAGACATTCATCATTTGAACACTATGAGAATAAACTGCATCTTTTCTCCATATAGCCTCAGCAACCATAAACAATAGGTACTTAATAAATATTTCTTGAATGAATGAAGTAAACAGATAAATGAATAAAGTAAGATTTTTTCTACCTTACTTTAATGAAGACTGTCATCATGCTAAAAGATCAAGAGTCTAAACCAACTGTAAAATTATAAATGTTTCACAGGATTGCAGAAAAAGACAAATAAATGATATGCAATATATATTTTTGTAAATATTCAACCCCATTAAAAATCAAACACATGGGCTGGGTGCGGTAGCTCATGCCTGTAATCCCAGCCCTTTGGGAAGCCAAAGTAGGCAGATCACTTGAGCCCGAAAGTTGAAGACCAGACTGGGCAACAGGTGAAACCTTTGTCTACAAAAAAAAAAAAAAAAAATACAAAAAATTAGCCAGATATAGTGGCATGCACCTGTAGTCCCAGCTACTCAGGAAGTTGAGGTGGGAGGATCACTTTAGCTCACAAGGCAGAGGTTGTAGTAAGCCAAGATAGCACCACTGCACTCCAGCTTGGGTGACAAAGAGACCCTGTCTCAAACAAACAAATGGAAATGGAAAAAATTATACAAGACAGAAGTAAATGGAATGAAAAAAACTACATGAAATGGAAAAAAAAAAAAAAAACTACACAAGACAAAAGTAAAAATAGTAGAATGAGAAGTCATTGACTGCAAGGGACATGAGTCCCTAGCACAGTACCTGGTATATGAGAGAGACTTTCAGAAGCTTCTGAAAGCACAAGAAGAAGGAAGGGAGGAAAACAAAGTAATAGGAAGAGTGGCAGAAAAATTCTGGGAGGGAGAAGGGGAAGGAGAGAGAAAAAAGGAATGGGAAAGAAAATAGCCATAGAAAAAGAGAGAAAAGGGTTGTGGGGGAGGGAGAGAGAGAAAAAAAGTATACTAGTTAAAGAACAAAATAAACATAAGTTAGTGTAACTATATTCTGGACATTTCATTATTAAACACTGATTATCCTTCACATTCTTTGAGATTCTGTTTTTATGATCAAAGTTCTTACATTTACCAGGCAATTGATAAATATTTTTAGACCATTCATCAACAGAGAAAACTTACAGGCTCCACAATATTGAACTTCTTGGACTCCTGAACTTCCTGAATTTGATAAACATAATCAAGAGAAGACTCAAAAAAATTGTGCCTCTCCTTGTCCACCTGTAGGTCTGCCTGTAGAAGAAGGAAAACAAACATTACATATTGGGATATTCATTCATGAAAGTCGGTGCTTAAGGACTGAACAGAATGCTGGAGCTAGATGAGCATTTAGCCACCAACTAGTGATGTTGCCCTTTATTTTAGAGATAAACAACCTAAAGCCAAGAGATAAAAAAGTGACTGATCCAAGATTCCAGTTTCTGGTCTAACACGTAAAAACCCTAAAGTCATTACACCCACTCCAACAAAAAGAAAAAAAGCTGAACAACTATAAAATCAATACATTTTCTTATATCCAACAGAGAATTCAAGTCAGAGGAAAATTTGCTCCTTCAAAAACTACAGAGACATGAATACAGAGAATAAGAAATTAACAAGGGCAGAAGCCCAAAAGCAGAAGTATGCTACTATGGCCAACACTGAGAGGATGACAATAGAAAGAACTGCAAGTCTCAAGCCTTATTTAACAAGAAATGAGAAAATCTGAGCACATAAATAATGATGCCAGGGAAAATCTTAGAGTCAGACAATGACAGCTACAGCTAACCAAGCACAGCCAGATCAACACAAAACCTCACATTAAAGACCTGTTTGGCTCAGTTCCTTTTATCTGAACATCAATCGCTGGCTTTCAACAAGGAATTATAATGCATATGAAAAGGCAATAAACACAGTCCGAAGAGAAAAAAGGAGCGTCAGAATCAAAGGCAGATAAGGCAAAGATTGTAGTAATATAAGACTGGAGACCAGGTGCAATAGCTCACTTCTGTAATCACAGTACTTTGGGAGGACGAGGCAGGCACATCGTCTGAGGTCCGGAGTTTGAGACCAACTTAGCCAACATGGAGAAATCCCGTCTCTGCTAAAAATACAAAAACTAGCCAAGCGTGCTGGTGCATTCCTGTAGTCCCAGCTACTCAGGAGGCTGAGGAACAAGACTTACTTGAACCTGGGAGGTGGAGACTGCAGTGAGCCGAGATCATGCCACTGCACTCCAGCCTGGGCAACAGAGTGAGACTCCATCTCAGAAACAAACAAAAAAGAAATATAAGCCTAAATTTAAAGTAATTGTAATTAATATGATTAGGGCTCTAATATAAAAAGTGGACAGCACATAAGAACAGATGGGTAACAGTAGCAGGCTGATGAAAACTGCAAGAGAAAATACACAAGAAAGACTAGAAATCAAAAACACTGTAGCAGAAATGAAGACTACTTTTAAAGCGTTCACCAGCAGATTGAACAAGACTGAGGAAAGAACCAGTAAGCTTAAATACATATCAACAAAAATGTGGGAAACTGAAATGCAAAGAGAAAACAAGAATGAAAAACAGGGAGGAGAATATTCAGGAACTGGTAGACAATTTAAAAAGATGTGAATATACACATATCCAGAGTACCAATAGGTGAAGAAAGAGATAGAAACAGAAGAAATACTTCAAGAAATAATGACTGGTAATTTTCCAAAATAAAAGATGGATATCAAACCCCACATCCAAGAAGCTCAGGATAAATACCAACGGATACAATAATACAATAAATACCAATCAAGATAAATACCAAACAATCTCCATGTAGGTATATGATATTCAAAGCTGCAGAAAATGGAACACAAGAGAAAATCTTGAAAGAAGCTAGAGAGAAAAACAAACAAATAACTTACCACATAGAGGAGCAAGGATAAAGAGTTATACCAGACTTCTCTTAAACCATGCAAAAAGAAGAGAGTGCCATAAAATGCTTGAAGGTGTTGAAAGAAAAAAAGACAACAAATTAGAAATATGTATACTGTGAAATTGTCCTTCAAAAGCGATGGTAAAATAAAGACCTCCTCAAACAAACACAAATTGAAGCACTTTGTCACCACAAAACTTGTCTTGCAAGAAAGGTTAAGAGATATTCTCCAGTAGAAAAAAAATGACATGTCAGAAATATAGACCCAAATAAAGAAAAAAAAAAAAAAGCACCAGAAAAGAAAAAAATAAAGATAAATTTTTTTTATTTTTCAAATTGCTAATAGATCTAGCAGATAAGAATTTATCTATAATAATAATTGTAATGATACATTTGGTGATTATATCTTACAAATAAGTAAAAAGAATGATAGCACCATTATAAGGGACTAAAGGGAGAAATTGGAAATAGTCTGTTGATCCTGTGCAACCCATAACTATCTTACTGGAATGGGAAAAGTGGATGTAAACTAACCATAAATGCATATTGCAAGTTGTAAGACAATCACGAAAAAACAAAAAAGAAGTATAATTGATATGGTAAGAGAAGACAGAAAATGAAATCATATAAAATGTTCTCTTAAAAAAAGAGAAAGCAGAAGAAGACTGAAAGACAAAAATAAGAAGAAAAACAATAAGTAGAAGATGGTAAACAATATAGTAGATACTAATACACCATTATCAATGACCATTTTAAATGACAATGGTCTAAAAAATTAAAAGATAGATTGTCAGAGTACACAAAAATTAAGAGCCAACTATGTTAACTAAAAGATATTTTAAATAAGATATACAAAATGTTAAACCTGAAACCATAAAACTTCTAGAAGAAAACCTAGAAAAAATGCTTCTAGGCAATGGCCTAGTTAAAAGAATATATATTACTAAGACACCTAATGCAAATGCAACAGAAACAAAAATAAATGAAACTTAATTAAACTAAAATCTTTCTGCACAACAAGAGAAATAATCAACAGAGTAAATATGCAACCTACAGAATGGGATATAATATTCACAAACTATACAGCTGACAAAGGACTAGTGTCTAGAATCTTCAAGGAACTCCAACAAATCAGCAAGAAAAAAACACAAACAATCCTGTTTAAAAGTGGGCAGATGACATGAACAGACATTTTTCAAAAGAAGATATACAAATGACCAATAAACATGAAAAAATGCTCGACATCACTGATCATCAGGAAAACAGAAATTAAAACCACAATGAGATACCACCTTACTCCACTCAGAAAGGCCATTATTAAAAAGTCAAAAAACAAAATATGGAGATGTGGTGAAAAGGGAATGCTTATTCACTTTTAGTGGGAATGTAAATTCATACAGTCTCTATGGAAAGCAGTATGGAGATCTCTCAAATTACTGAAAGTAGAAATGCTATTTGATCCAAAATTCCACTACTGAGCATCTACCTAAAGGAAAAAAAGTCATTACATCAAAAAAGACACTTGCACTCCTATGTTTATCTTGGAACAATTTACAATTGCAAAAATAGGAAATCAATCTAAGTGTCCATCAACTGATGAGTGGATAAAGAAAATATAGTGGGTATATGTGTGTGTGTGTGTGTGTCTGTACACGAACACATGCACACACACACACAGACACACACAGGAATACTCCTCAGCCATGAAAAAGAACAAAATAATGTCTTTTACAGGAATTGGAACTGGAGGCCATTACTCCAAGTGAACTAACTCAGGAATGGATAACCAAATACCTCAATTCTCATTTATAAGTGGGAGCTAAGCTTTGAGTATGCAGAGGCATGCAGAGTGGTATAATGGGTACTGGAGATTCAGAAAAGGGGTAGTGAGAAGGGGCTGAAGGGTAAAAAATGACCTATTATTGGGTATAATGCACACTATTCAGGTGACACAGGTACACTAAAAGCCCAGACTTCACCACTATACAATTAATCCATGTAACCAAAAACCTCTTATACCCCTAAACCTATTGAAATAAAAATTAAAATACAAAGAAAACAAAGATAGATTAAAAGTAAACATATAAAGAAAGATATATTATGCTAACATTAATCAAAAGGATACTGGAGTAGCTACGTTAATTTCATAAAAAGCACACTTCAGAACAAAGAAAACTACCAAGGAAAAATATTACGATATTAAATCATAATATAATAATAAAGAGGGCAAGACTCTAAGTTGACATTTCTTTTTTTTTTAAGTTTTTATTTATTTAACTTTAGGTGCATACTATATCTGGCATTTCTCCCCATGTTATCCCTCCCCACCCTCCCCTCCCTCCCCACCCGACATAACAATACTTAATGTGAATGCGCCTAACATTAGAGTATCAAAATACATTCTCTCAGTAAAAACTGAGAGAATTACAAGGAGAAAGACTATTAGAGTTGGAGACTTCAATACTCCTCTAATAGTAATGGACAGATCCAGTTAGCAGAAAATCAGTAAGGACATTGTTGACCTGAATGGCACCATCAACCAACTGAATCTAATTGGCATCTTTGTAACACTTCATACAACAGCAGAATACACTTTCATCTCAAAGTCAAACAGAACAATCACCAAGATAGACCATATTCTGGGATATAAAATATACCTGAAGAAATTTAAAAGAGTAGAAATCTTATGAAATACACAATTAGACCAAAATTAAATTATACCAGAAATCAATTTTTAAAAGCTGAAAATGCCCCAAATAATTGGAGATTAAACAGTACATTTATAAATAAAACCTGAATCAAAGACTCAAAAGGCTGGGCATCGTGGCACACGCCTGTAATCTCAGCACTTTAGGAGGCCAAGGCGGGAAGATCACTTGAAGACTGGAGTTTGAGACTAGCCTGGATAACATGGCAAGACCTCAATTCTACAAAAACTAAAAATAATATAAAATAAGAAATGTTAAGAGATTTTGAATTAAATAAAATTGAAAACACAATTTAATATTAGTGGGCAACAAAAGCAGTGCTTAGAGAAATATTTATAGAATGAAATCCATATATTAGAATAGATGAAAGATCTATTATTAATAATCTAAGCTGCCTCCTTAGGAAACTAAAAATAGAAGAATAAATCACATCCAAACTGAGCAGAAAATTTTTAAAAAGACACATTAAAGAAGATATCAATGATATTTAACAACAGAAAGTCAACAAAGAAAATCAACAAAGCTAAAAAGCTGGTTCTTTGAAAAAAAATCAATAAAATTGTTAACATTGTAGCCACATTAAGTAAGAAAGAGTAAATACACAAATAACTAGCATCAGAAATAAAAGAAGGGAAAAAAATGAGATCCCCTAATTTGTAACAACATGGATGGAACTGGAAGTCATTTTGTTAAGTTACATAAGCCAGGCACAGAAAGACAAGATCTTTAAGAGGAGAACTACAAAACACTGATGAAAAAAATCAAAGGTCAAAATGAATGGAAAGATGTTTCATGTACATATTAGGCCAGTGCAAAAGTAATTGTGGTTTCTGCCATTACTTTTAATGGTACAACATCAAAGAGTGACAAGGATGTGAAGCAACAGTATCATTCATTGCTGGTAGAAATGAAAACTGCTACAGCCAATTTGGAAGACAGTTTGGCAGCTTCTTACAACACTACATAAAGTCTAACCATATGATGTAGCAGTTCTATTCTTTGGTATTTACTCAAACAACATTAAAATGTATATCCCTAAAAGCCTGGACACAATTATTTATCGCAGCTTTAATGGTTGCCAAAATTCAGAAGAATCCAAGATGTCCTTCGATAAGCAAATGCATAAACCAACCATGGTACAACCAGACAATGGCATATTATTCAGCCCTCTTTAAGGTTATCAAGCCAAGAAAAGATGGGAAGAAACCTTAAATGCATATTGCTAACTAAAAGAAGCCAATCTAAAAAGGTTACAAATCATATGATTCCAACTATATGACATTTTGGAAAATGCAGAAGTATGGAGTCCATTAAAAGATCAGTGGGATCAGGAGCGGTGGTTCACGCCTGTAATCCCAGCACTTTGGGAGGCTGAGGCAGGCAGATCACAAGGTCAGGAGTTCGGGACCAGCCTGACCAACATGGTAAAAACCTGTCTCTACCAAAAATACAAAAAGTAGCTGGGCGTGATGGCATGCACCTGTAATCCCGGCTACTCAGGAGGCCGAGGCAGGAGAATCACTTGAACCCGGGAGGCAGAGGTTGCAGTGAGCCGAGATCGTGCCACTGCACTCCAACCTGGGGAATGGTGTCAGAGGTATAGGTAGAAGGAGGGAGGGATAAAGCCCAGGGATTGCTAAGGCAGCGAAACTGTCCTATACAATATGGTAATGCTGGATATATGTTATTATATGTTTGTCAAAACCCATAAAATGTTTAACACATTGGCTCATAAATTCTAACAAATGTATCACACTAATTCAAGATGATTCTAAAAGGATATGAGAAACTGTGTGAAGGAGTAGGGGCATATGATAAATCTAAATTTTTAAAAAGTGACTATCTCAGATTCCCCTGCTCATTTTTTATTGAATAAATAATAAAGGGGCATCTATATATAGCACCAAACACCTAAAACACTCCAGAAGCTGTCATAGTAAAAGTCTCCAATA